CTTAATACACTCTTTATTTCACACATTGAAGACTTAATTTTTTTTTAAAATCCAGCTCACTGAACTTGAATAATAATAATAATAATAATAATAATAATAAGAAGAAGAAGTCACTACTACTACCAACAACAACAACAACAACACAACAACAACAACAACAACGCAGCGTCTGCAGTGATGCGGTCGCTGTATCGTTGTGGTGAAGAGGAGCTGAGTCGAAAGGCGAAGCTCTCGATTTACAGGTCAGTCTTCGTTCCTCCTCTCACCTCTGGTCATGACTCTGGGTAATGACCGAAAGGACGAGATCGCGGATACAAGCGCTTGAAATGAGTTTCCTCCGCAGGGTGTCTGGGCGTCTCCCTTAGAGACAGAGTGAGGAGCTCAGTCACACGGGAGGAGCTCGGAGTAGAGCCGCTGCTCCTCCACGTGGAGAGGAGCCAGTTGAGGCTCGGGCATCTGTTCTGATGTCTCCTGGGCGTCTCCCTCGGGAGGTGTTCATGTCCCACTGGGAGGAGGCCCCGGGGAAGACCCAGGACACACTGGAGGGACTATGTCTCTGGTCTGGCCTGGGAACGCCTCGGGGTCCCCCCGGAGGAGCTGGAGGACGTGTCTGGGGTGAAGGAAGTCTGGGAGTCCCTGCTTAGGCTGCTCCCCCCGCGACCCGACCCCGGATAAACGGACGAAAATGGATGGATGGAGGTGGATTACCAAAAAACTCCATCCATCTTCTCCTGGTCCGGTCCTTTTGTGGCGTCTGTTCTCCCCTGAACTACAGACTGTTTTATTACATAAGAGGAAAGTCAATTTATTAAAATCAAATAAATACAAACTACATTTCTTGTGCTGGTCGTCCTTAACAACGAAGTTATTACAATCATAATTCATGGACAAAAATGTCTTATTAATAAGCAGAAATAAAGAGGAAGGTGTTTGTAAATGTTTAACTAAAAGCAGAATAAGTTTAATTAGACATTAATAAAGGCTGAATAAAAACTAATTCATGACAAATGAAGCGTTTACAACTGTGTCTGTGTTTCCGTCGTCGTAGTGAAAGTGACGTGTTTATTTCAGGTTTTATCAGTGAAACTCAAACTAACTCCGACTTATCTTATCTGGACTTTCTGTAACTTTAACTCAAGGTCGTCCGGGGGCTTTTCTGAACCTGAGCCACGTTTGGTTTTTTATTGAACTTTCACAGAGTAAATATGAGGCCGAGAACACGGACACAGACTCAAATACACAAATGATTCAGGTTTGTCTGTCAATTTAAAACTTCATTTGTGCTGGAGATTTGATTTAGTCTCAATAAAAAACATTTTAAGAAGCTTAAACCTGTGTATGTGTCTAATCTCACACACATTTTACACCAAACTAAATAAACCAGGACTAAAACAGGACTAAACCAGGACTAAACTAAAACAGGACTAAAACAGGACTAAACCAGGTCTAAAACCAGGTCTAAAACCAGGACTAAACCAGGTCTAAAACCAGGACTAAACCAGGACTAAAACAGGACTAAAACAGGACTAAACCAGGTCTAAAACCAGGACTAAAAGGTCCAGGTCTAAAACCAGGACTAAACCAGGTCTAAACCAGAAAACCAGGACTAAACCAGGACTAAAACCAGGACTAAACCAGGACTAAACCAGGACTAAACTAGGTCTAAAACAGGACTAAACCAGGTCTAAAACAGGTAAACTAAAACCAGGACTAAACCAGGTCTAAAACAGGACTAAACCAGGTCTAAAAACCAGGACTAACTAAAACAGGTCTAAACCAGGACTAAAACCAGGTCTAAAACCAGAACTAAAACAGGTCTAAAACAGGACTAAACCAGGTCTAAAACCAGGTCTAAAACCAGGACTAAACCAGGTCTAAAACCAGTCTAAACCAGGACTAAAACCAGGACTAAACCAGGTAAACAGGACTAAAACAGGACTAAACCAGGTCTAAAACCAGGTCTAAAACCAGGACTAAACCAGGTCTAAAACCAGAACTAAAACAGGACTAAAACAGGACTAAACAGGACTAAACCAGGTCTAAAACCAGGTCTAAACCAGAACTAAACCAGGTCTAAAACCAGATCTAAACCAGGTGTAAAACAGGTCTAAAACAGGACTAAAATGGGACTAAACCAGGACTAAAACCAGGTCTAAACTAGGTCTAAACCAGGACTAAACCAGGACTAAACCAGGACTAAACAGGACTAACCAGGACTAAACCAGGACTAAACCAGGTCCTAAACCAGGACTAAAACAGACTAACAAACTAAAACAGGACTAAACCAGGACTAAACCAGGTCTAAACCAGGACTAAAACAGGTCTAAAACCAGGACTAAACCAGGACTAAACCAGGACTAAAACCAGGACTAAACCAGGACTAAACCAGGACTAAACCAGGTAAACCAGGACTAAAACTAAACTAAACCAGGTCTAAACCAGGACCTAAAACAGGTCTAAACCAGTCTAAACCAGGTCTAAACCAGGACTAAACCAGGAC